CCTGCTCCCAAAGCAGCCACATAGCTGGGCACCACAGATTGCCCTATCACGGGGGAAATCCTGGCGTAGAGCAGGACCTCTGGCTCTTTGCTACTCTCTCTGCACCCCGGGATGGGGGGCATGTTGGGGCACCATGGGAAGAGAGGCCATGGCTGTAGCTGCCGCGGGGCTGTTGCAGGTGGGCACAGCTTAGAGGAGCCCGGCTGTGACGGGAGCGTATGTGTGGCTCCGGGCACAGAACCTAAAGGCAAAGGCTTGAGCCCTGCATTCCAATGTGATTTTTGTTGACACTGGATTGCTGTGACTCCCTGACCCTATAGCTACAGAAGATGGACACTGCTCCGCTTCGGCACTGAAAATAGCCCACTCACAGCGCCTCCAGGCCCGCTGTGTTGGTGGTGTAATGACTGGCTACTCCGGTGGCAACACCCCATGATGCTAGGGCAGGCGATCCAGTGCACCTCTTCCCGATGCAGCCGGCAAGTCACATTTGCTCCGGGCTCCTGGAAGGGGTGTGGCCTTGGATGGAAGGGGCGGGGCTAGACACAGTCAGCTCTCTGAGCTGCCCGGAGCATGCTGTGTAGTGCTCCGGCTGCAATTTAAAGGGCCCAGGTCTCCCAGCTACGATGGCTACTGTGGTGGCGGTGGTAGCCAGGAACTCCAGGCAGTTGCCCCCTTTCGCCCCACGACACCCCTCTGCAAACCTGTGCCCACCCCACATCACCCCAAAGGCAAAAAGGCCATTGCTGTATGACGTCACACGGTGCCATGTGCGCACAATGCAGGTAGGTGTCATACCGCTGGAGTCCATGGAGACCACATGGTGCGTCTCCCCAGCCAAAAAAGTTGAGTAAGCTGCTGCTCATCCCACTATCGTGGGAGTTCCAAACCTCACAAGAATGTTGTAGCACCAAAAAAAGAGACACACTTTCAACAGTAAAGGACATTAACCCTTGGAGCAATTTACCCAGGATCAGGGTGGATCAATGATTTTTTTTTTTAAATCAAGGTTGGCTTTTTTTTTCTGTGAGATCATTCTAGGGATCTGGACTGGGGCCAGTGCTGTTCATTATATTCAGAAGTGATCTGACAAAAGGGGTAAGCAATGAGGTGGTAAAATCGGCAGATGAAACCAAACTACTCCAGATAGTTATGCCCAAAGCAGACTGCTAAAAATGGATCTCACAAAACTGGGTGATTTGGCAACAAAATGGCAAGTGAAATGCAGTGTTGATAAATGCAAAGTAATGCACATTGGAAAACATAATCCCAATTATGCATATTGAATGATGGGGTCTAAATTTACACTCAAGAAAGAGCTCTTGGAGTCATTGTGGCTAGTTCTCCGAAAACATTCCCTTAATGTGCAGTGGCAGTCAAAAAAGCTATCAACATATTGGGAACCATTAAGAAAGGGATAAATAACAAGACAGAAAATATCATATTGCCTCTATACAAATCCATAGGACACTCTCCTCTTGAAGACTGTGTGCAGATGTAGTTGCCCCATCTCAGAAAAAATATATTGGGATTGGAAAAGGTTCAGAAAAGGGCAACAGAAATGGTTAGGAGTAAGGAACTGCTTCCGTATGAGGAGAGTTTAATTAGACGGGGGCTTGGAAAAGAGATGACTGACGAGGGATATGATAGAGGTCTATATGCTCATGATTGGTGTGCAGAAAGTAAATAAGGACGTGTTATTTACTCCTCGTAGCACAAGAACTATGGGTCCGGTCCGCCAAGTGAAATGAACCGGCAGCAGGTTTAAGACAAGTCAAAGGAAGTACTTCATCCAATGCACAGTCAAACCTGGGAACTCTTTGTCAGAAGTTGTTGTGAAGGCCAAAACTCTAGCAAATGTCAGAAAATAGAGCTAGATAAATTGATGGCGGTTGGGTCATCGATGGGAAGGGGGTCCCTGGTCTCTGTTTCCCAGAATCTGGGAATGGCTGACAGGGGAGGGGTCATTTGAGGATTCCCTGTTCTGTTCATTCCCCCTGGGCATCGGCCGCTGCCAGAGACAGGACACTGGGCTAGATGGACCTTCCGTCTGACCCTTACGTAGGGATTATTTTGGGAGCAGTTCTCCAGCCTGTGCTACAGGGGGTCAGACTACATGGTCCCTGGGTCCATTCTGGTCTTGGACTATCTGAAAAACACGCCGTGGCACAGAGCTGCTGGGCACGGTTTACTAAGCCACTGGCAGGCCTGTTCAGCTGGGTGGAGGCAGACACAGAGCCCCGTGGGGAAGGGAAGGGGTTAATTGGGACCACGAGAACCTAGCTCCAGTTGAAAGAGATGGAGAGAGATGGACACAACACAGTTAAATGGGCCCAGGCCAAAGCAGCTCTTGGGTTTTCCAATGATCGTCCAGCTAAGAGGAAGACCAGTCATGGAACAGAGAACAGCTCCATGTCTCAACCCTAGAATCATTTTCAGCCCACTCTTCATTATCCACCGCAATGGCTCCTGAACGCCAGGTCACAACGGGATGAGTCATGTCCTGGGAAGAGGTGCAATCAGTTACACAAGGCACTGTTCAGCTGTGGAACTCATTGCCACAGGATGTCACTGAGGCCAAGAACCAGAGCAAGGTTCAAGGTTGGATTGGACAGTTGCATAGAGAACAAGAGTAGCCAGACTTAGAATAGCTAATGCTAAAAAAGGGGGTGTGAGAAAATGACATGAAAGCTCTGGCGTCAGGGATGAACCTCTCTCAATCAGGAAGCCTGGTTATTCTTCAGCTACCAGAGTTTCTTGTCCCAGTGGAGACGGGAAATTGAACTAGCAGGATTTGAGGTCTAATCTAGTCTGGCATTTCCTAGGTTCTGATGTATCCTATCTCCCCCATGTGTAAATCCTGTAAAGCAGAGCTGGGGGCTGCTGACCCACAGAAAAATCAGTCTGGGGCCGGGGGCTACAGGGAGGCAGCAGCGGGGCTGGGGTGTCAGTGTAGGCTCCCCAGTGTTGGGGGAGGCCAGACCTAGGCGACCCCCAGGCCTTAGGTTCCCCAGCCCTGCTGTAAATCCTCCCCAAACCAGGAGAGTGCAGAATAAGGGAGAGTAGGAGATTTAACTTCTAACTTCCCGTGCCAGGGCTGCTTGTCTAGGCGTCTGGGTGGAGAAATCCGAACCGGAGCGCTAGGAACGTTCTTCCCCGAGATTAGCCCCGACCTCTCTCTTGCCCGCAGGCTGCAGGAAGCCCCGGCCAAAGGGTTTGTGGCCCCAGAGGCTGGCCCTGTCTCATGGCACATGCCAACCAGAAACCTGCCCGCTGCTGCAGGGGCAGCGCATTGCAAAAGCAGGGACATCAGAGCTGACGTGCGGTCGGCTGTGTGCTGTCGCCAGTGGGGGGAGGGAGTCAGGCCGCGAGAGGCCGAGGGAGCCGGTGCCAGGCACGTCACGCGGCTCCGACGACCCCCTCGCTGCTGTGCGAGATTTCTCCTGAGCATCGCTCGGCAGCAGGCGAGGGCTGACGTAGGTGAAATGTCTGGCTGGGGATTGAACCACGGGAGGGAGGCCCCGTGACCAATTTGACACAGCTCTCTGCACATGGATTTTAGGCTATTTCAGTCCTGGGCTGGGCTCCTTGATTTCAAATGGGCAAACTGTGAAAGAATGAAGGGACGTGGTTCGTGAACGGGGCTGGAGTGAAGAACGCCAGGGTCTGAAAGAGGAGGAGGCTTAGAGTTTAGGTCAAAGTCCCAGAAGCTCTCTGAGGCCAGCGTGCAAGTGGTAGGGGAGGGCTGCAGACCAAACGGGAGGCCCAAGCGTCTTAAAGAGGTTAGGAAGAGGAAGTTGAAAGCCTACAAGGAATGGGCTAGATCAGCGTGGGAAGCTCCCTTTTGGAGGCCAGACATCGCCGGGACAACCTGAGACCTGCCCGACGCCAAGCAGAGTTTGCAAAGGAAATTAAAACAAACAGCAAAAGGTTCTTCACATAACGACAAAGAAAACAAGGGTCACTGAACACTGAGAATGTGGCGGAGAGGACAGATAATCTAGGCACGGCTCAACACCTAAACAAACACTGCCTCACTTTTTAATAAGGGCAACGAGGCACTTCTGAGAAGTGGCATAGCAGCTAATGGAATTGAGGATGTGGAAGTAGAAATTACCTTCCTCAAAGTGGAGTCAAACTCCAACAGTTTAATGGGGGCAAAATGCAGGAGGAGGTGGACAATCTCCGTCCAACAATACTCAAGGAACTGGTACGTGAACTTGCCAATAAGCAAGGACTTTTAATGCATCCGTAAATGCGGGGCTCGTACACCATGGCCGGAGAAATGCTAATACTGTATCTGTTTTTAGAAAAGGGCAAAGGAAAAAGAGCGAGCTAGGAAAATCGAGGGGGGTGAGGAACTGATTAAAGGGGAGACCACGATGGGCATGCTGGCAGGTGACCATCCAGCTGGAGGGAGGCTACTAGCAGAGTTCAATGTTCG